AAAAAAAAAAAAAAAAAGAAAAGGATGCATTAGGCACAAGGACAGCCAGTGCAAAGGTCACAATGAGACCTGCATGTCAGACAGAATACAGGGTGGCCAGTGTGCTAGAGCAAGGTGAGAGGTAGGAAGCATGATGGAAGATGAGACTGAGAGCTGGGTATGGGCCTTGTGGGCCATTGAAGGGATCTGAGTTTTATTCTAAGCACAACTGGAAACACCTGGAGGGTTTTAAGTGAGAGTAATATGAACAAACTCTAAATCATTCTGATTCTATAAAGATACACCCTTCCACATAGAGCTTCCCTCTAACGTAATCTTGTAATCTTTAATTTCAACACATAGAAACATTTAAATTGCCAGATAGTAAAACTGGTAATGCCACTCCATCTTGATTAAGTTACAGTCCCTTCTTTACAGAATTCTATAGAATTCTGCCAAACACCACTTTATTTACATGATGGCCCACATTTTATGAATGAAGAAAACAAAATATGAATATCTTCTTTAAGGTCAATAATAGAACCAGGAAAGAAACTGAGAAATCTTTCTTTGTTAAATGTTGAGTGTGTAAGGTTTTTTTTATTATTATACTTTAAGTTCTGGGGTACATGTGCAGATCGTGCAGGATTGTTACATAGGTATACACATGCCATGGTGATTTGCTACATCTATCCCCCCATGACCTACATTAGGTATTTCTCCTAAAACATCCCTCTTCCATCCCTCCACCCCCTGCTGTCCCTCCTCTAGCTCCCCTACCGCCCAACAGGCCCTGGTGTGTGATGTTACCCTTCCTGTGTCCATGTGCTCTAATTGTTCAACACCCAGTTATGAGTGAGAATATGTGGTATTTGGTTTTCTGTTCTTGTGTCGATTTGCTGAGAATGAAAAATATGGAATGCTTCACAAATTTGCGTGTCGTCCTTGTTCAGGGGCCATGCTAATCTTCTCTATATTGTTCCAATTTTAGTATACGTGCTGCCAAAGCAAGCACTGTTTTTTTTTTTTTTTTGAGTCATAGTCTCGTTCTGTGGCCCAGGCTATAGTGCAGTGGCACGATCTTGGCTCACTGCAACCTCCACCTCCCAGGTTGAAGCGATTCTCCTGCCTCAGTCTCACCAGTAGCTGGGACTACAGGCACTTGCCACCACGCCCGGCTAACTTTTTGTATTTTTAGTAGAGATGGGGTTTCACTGGGTTAGCCAGGATGGTCTCAATCTCCTGACCTCGTGATCCACCCGCCTCAGCCTCCCAAAGTGCTGGGATTACAGGCGTGAGCCACTGCACCTCTGCACCTGGCCTGTTAAATGTGTTTTTAACACAGTTAGCCCACCTTAATTTCTCTAAAAGGAAAAAAAAATTAAGAAAAACAGATTTACCTTCTTTCTATCATCTTTCCTGTCAAATGCACACTGCTGCTTGCACTGTTCACAAGAATAGGGTGGTCCATACTTCTTCTCTGAATTTGTGCAGCGCTGGCATTTATTCCCAATAAATGCCGCAATTATGTTGCAATACTGACAAGGTTTGGGCTTAAAGAGGGGGAAGAAAGGGTCAAATATGAATTACTATCATAAAATACCACTGCATTTTAAAAAGCAATAATTTCTACTTTGTAGTTCATTAATCATGGTACAAATGTATTGCCAACTTCATAAATCTGCTTTTATATCGACCAAATGAAGCCCAATTCTTTCTTGGGCTGGAGTGCAGTGGTGTGATCTCAGCTCAATGCAACCTCCGCCTCCCCAGTTAAAGCAATTCTCCCTGCCTCAGCCTCCGGAGTAGCTGGGATTACAGGCGCCAGCCACCATGCCCAGCTAATTTTTGTATTATTTAGTAGAGACAGGGTTTTGCCAGGTTAGCCAGGCTGGTCTTGCTCCTGACCTCAGGTGATCTGCCTGCCTTAGCCTCCCAAAGTGCTGGGATTACAGGCGTAAACCACCCTGCCCAGCCTGAATCCCAATTCTTAATACTATGTGAAGTATTTTTCTGCACAGAACTATTGATTTTTAAATAAATAAATAAACACATAACAAAAGCCCATTAGTATGTATGCAGAGACTTCTATGAGACATTCAACAGAACCAGCTCTTTGGAGAAACTAGCAAGGGCTTCCAAATTTCTGAAAAGGCCTCTTTGCTATTATCAGTATATAAACATGTTGGGAGAATGCCTACAAGCACATGACATCCTAAACTCTAACACTAAGACCAAAAAAAAGAATAATTCATCAAAATGACTAGTCAACTGCTACCAAACAAAAATGTCAAGTTATAAAAATTCATCTTGTCAGCTGTGGTGGCTCACACCTGTAATCTCAGCACTTTGGGAGGCAGAGGTAGGTGGATCACTTGAGGTCAGGAGTTTGAGACCAGCCTGGCCAACATGGTAAAACCCCATTCTCTACTAAAATACAAAAAATTAGCCGTGTGCGGTGGTGCGTGCCTATAGTCCCAGCTACTTGGGAGGCTGAGGCAGAAGAATTGCTTGAACCTGGGAGGTGGAGGTTGCAGTAAGCTATCTTGCCATTGTACTCCAGCCTGGGCAATAGAGCAAGACTCGGTNAAAAAAAAAAAATTAGCTGGGCGTGGTGGCTCGCACCTGTAGGCCCAACTACTTGGGAGGCTAAGGTGGGAGGATCAGTTGAGCCTGGGAGGTTGAGAGTGCAGTGGCCATGATGGTGCCACTGCCCTCCAGCCTGGGTAACAGAGTGAGACCCTGTCTTGAAAAAAATAAAATTGAAACCTCAGAATGTAGTGATTCCCTGTTACTTTAATTGACCACCAAATCTGACTTTCTAGAGAGAAAATGTCCAGTATGGTTGCTGGGAATTAGTAATGGTACCAGTTGCCTTCCTTTTCTAAATTAAACCCCATTTCTTTTTTGAATCTTGAGAAAGCAGAAAAAAAGAAGGGAGAAAGCATATTACAAAGTACTGATTCTTTGACTTGACTGCCTGTTATGTTGACTCATATTCAAGCACTACTGCTAGATTGTTTTTCTTCTCAGGAATCCTTCCATCAGTGGACCTGCTATTTAACCTGGATCGCATTACTACCGTTGAACACTTACTCAAGTCAGTCTTGCTGTACACTGTCAATGACTCAGTTTCTTTTTCCTCTGCTATCAAGTGTGTGTGCAACCTGATGATGAAGGAGCCAAAGTTTTCTAGCAAGACTCTCCCCAGAGGTCCATACTCATTTACCTTTAAATCACAGTTTGAGTTTGGAAAGAAACACAAGTGGATTGAAATTGATGTGACCAGCCTCCTTCAACCTTTAGTGGCCTCCAACAAGAGAAGTGTTCACATGTCTGTAAATTTTACATGCATGAAAGACCAGCTGCAGCATCCTTTAGCACAGAATGGTTTGTTTAACATGACTCTTCCGGTACCACCCTCACTCATCTTATATTTGAATGACACAAGTGCTCAGGCTTATCACAGGTGGTATTCCCTTCACTATGAAAGGAGGCCTTCCCAGTGTCCTGACCAGGAGAGAAGTCAGTCTGCCTATCCTGTGGGAGAAGAGGCTGCTGAGGATGGGAGAACTTCCCATCACCGTCACCGCAGAGGTCAGGAAACTGTCAGCTCTAAATTGAAGAAGCCTCTGGTCCCAGCTGCCCTCAATCTAAGTGAGTACTTCAAACAGTTTCTTTTTCCCCAAAATGAGTGTGAGCTCCACGACTTTAGACTTAGCTTTAGTCAGCTGAAGTGGGACAACTGGATTGTGGCTCCGCACAGGTACAACCCTCGATACTGTAAAGGGGACTGTCCAAGGGCAGTTGGACATCGGTATGGCTCTCCAGTTCACACCATGGTACAGAACATCATCTATGAGAAGCTGGACTCCTCAGTGCCAAGACCATCATGTGTACCTGCCAAATACAGCCCCTTGAGTGTGTTGACCATTGAACCTGATGGCTCAATTGCCTATAAAGAGTATGAAGATATGATAGCTACAAAGTGTACCTGTCGTTAACAAATGGTCCTCTTAAAACCTTGAGCCTATTTGGCAAAGTATCTGTGCCTTCAAGAGAAAGCTTCATATGTTAAGTCTCAATAAAATGCAGCATATGTTGTATAAAGAGGAGCCTGTGTAGATTAGTACCTTACATGGCATCTATCAGGATAACGGGATAACATCAATCGTTGCTTCAGAGCCTTTTTTTATTTCCAAATTTAAATGAAATATAATTATTGTAGAGAACTTTACATTTTTTTCCTTGAGCTATTTTCTTTTCATAGGAGTCTTTTTCTTGATAGGGAAAACCTTAATTAGCATAAATCCTGGATGGACTTGCACTATAAATAGGCAATTCAGATTGTAGTCTTAATAGAAAAATAAATTTCTGTCAATGGCATAAATTTTTTGTGTGTTTTATTAAAGATTGCTTTTAAGTGATCCTTTGCGGGGGAGAGGAAGTGTCTAAAACCTGGCCATAGCTCAACTTTTGATCCTTTTTCAGGGTGAAAGAGAGCCTAACTTCACCTGAATCCTCATGAAGTGAGACTCAATAGGACTAGAGAGTAGGCAGTTAAACCCATTTCTGTTGCTTTAGTGTGATTGGCGAACAATATACTAATTCTCCTTGTTAACTGGAATATATAAATTAATTAAGTCACACAGAACAAAATAACATTTGTCCCATTCATTTAAAGGAAATTGCCTTGCATACTTTCCCAAGAAAACCTATATACAAGACTTTGTAAATGTATTTTTTTTTCTTTATATATTTAAAACCTCTGGCCTTATGAAAGGAAGCCAGGGAAGGTTTTATGTCTTTTGGTTTGGTTTGGTTTTTGCTGATTTCCTTAGCTCCCTCCACTCCAACTCCACAGATTTTTTTCTAGCTGCATTTAGAACTGTTCCTACTAAGCTTGCAGTAGAGACTGGTTATATTACTGACTGGTCTTATGCGGATGCTAGGGTTTTTATGTAGGTTTTCAATACATCTGTTTTGAGAGTGCCCTGGAGGCACAGAGGTAAGTTTGATATGGTGATTTTGTGTTTGAGCTTCTAAAACCTTGATGTATAAACCAAAAGTAACTCCTAGATGTAATAAGTACTTTTCATTCTTGTAAATGATCTTTTCTTGGTGCCCTTTTTAGCTTCATTAAATATGCACATAGCATATAATTTACCCATTTCAAGTGTACAATTCAATGGCTTATAGTGTATTCATAAACATGGGACAACATCACTATCATCAATTTTAGAACATGTTTATCACCTCAAAAAGAAACCTTAGACTCTAGCTAATATGCCCGTTTCCCATCCTGCCCCACTCCCCGCCCTAAGCAACTACTAACCTGTTGATAGTTTTCCTGATTCAGGACTTTCATATGAATGGAGTCATGCAATAGGCTGGCTCCTTTCATTTAGCATGTTTTCAATGTTCATTTGTATTGTAGCATGTATCAGTACTTTCTAGTGGCTATATTTCATTGTATAGCTATACCAAATTTTGTTTATCCATTTGTCGATGGACATTTGGGCTGTTTCCATTTTTTAGCTATTACAAATAATGCTGATAAAATTCATGTAGAAGTTTTATTTCTTTGGAGTACATACCTAAGAGTGGAATTGCTAGGTCATATGGTAACTACGTTTAGTCATTTGAAGAACTGCTAGATTTTTTTCCAAACCAGCTGTACCATTTTATATTCCCACCAGCAGTGTATGAGAGTTCTGATTTCTCATCCATTCAACACTCACCTGACTTTGGGAGATGTTTTTATTTTTATTTTCTATAGGTATATAATAGTTGTACATATTTATAGGCACATGTGATATTTTGATATAAGCATACAAATTCATTACACATGAATGTAATGAACTTAACTGACTTTTCTGACCATCCAAGTGGGTGTGAAATGGTATCTCATTGTGGTTTTGATTTGCATTCCCTTGATAATTAATGATGTTGAGCATCTCTTCGTTTGCTTATTAGCCATTTGTATATCTTTTTTGAAGAAATCTCTATTAAGATCATTTGCCCATTTTCTAATTGTATGTTTAGTGAGTTGTAAGAATTATTTATATATTCTAGATACAAGGTTCTTTTTTTTTTTTTTTTAAAGACAGGGTTTCACCATGTTGGTCAGGCTGGTCTTGAACTCCCAACCTCAGGTGATCCGTCCACCTTGGCCTCCAAAGTGCTTGGATTACAGGCGTGAGCCACCATGCCCAGCCTAGATACAAGTTTCTTAAACAATTTTCAAATATTTTCTATCATTCTGTGGGCTGCCTTTTTGTTACTTTATTGTAATATATATATTAAACAACATTTTACTATTTTAAGTATCTTTTAAGTGTACAAGTCAGTGGCATTAAGTACATTCATGTTGATTTCTGACCATCACTACTATCTCAAACTTTTTCATCATTCCAATCTGAAATTCTTCCCATGTAGAGTTAAAAAAAAAAAAAAATCCCAGCCTGGGCAACAGACAGGGTTCTGCAGTGTTACTCATGTAAAAAAATCCCAGCCTGGGCGACATTGCAAAACTCCATCTCCACAAAAAATACAAAAATTAGCTGGGCGTGATGTCATGCGCCTGTAGTTCCAGGTACTCAGGAGGCTGAGGCAGAAGGATTACTTGAGCCTCAGAGGTCAAGGCTGCAGTGAGCTATGATTGTGCCACTGCGCTCCAAATCCAGCCTGGGTGGCAGAGTGAGACCCTGTTCTCAAAAAAAAAAAAAAAAAAAAAAAAAAAAAAAAAAAAAAAAAAAAAAAAAAAAAAAAAAAAAAAAATCATTTTTCCCTTTCTTTTTCCATACTGGTCACTGAAGCCTCTCAAGGAAAATTATAATAATAATCCTGGCAGTATGACTTTAAACACAGAATTCCTTAACAATAAGCATTAGCTAAATTTGAAAGCTGAAATCAGTACCAGATACATTACACATAACTATCTCTTACAATAAAAATATTGTAATGACATTAGTAGGTCACAGAAGGTAAGGTTCCACAAGACCCTCACTGTTAGGTTTAAAAAAAATCCTACTTACCGTTCCATACAACTGCACATTCTGAGCACATTTCTTGCATATTGTATTGGTTTTACTGTTAAGGAAGAAACAGACACAGGCTTTTCTTAGAATATCTGAAAACTGATTCCTCCTGAAGCCCAAGGAATTTGCTCATTGCTAAGGGCCAAGGTGAATTATGGTCTGGATGCTTGGTTAACAAGTTTGAGTATCTTTCTAACAACTCTTTTATTTTTATTTAATTTTTTTGAGACAGAGTCTCACTCTGTTCCTCATCGCTAGAGTGCAGTGGCGTGATCTGCTCACTATAACCTCTGCCTTCCACATTCAAGCGATTCTCATGTCTCAGCCTCCCAAGTAGCTGGAATTACAGGCGCATGCCACCAACCCAACTAATTTTTGTATTTTTAGTAAAGATGGGGTTTTGCCATGTTGGCCAGGCTGGTCTCAAACTCCTGACCTCAAGAGATCCATCATCCTGGCCTCCCAACTGCTGGGATTACAGGCATGAGCCACCACACCTAGCCTCTAATAAGTCTTTTAGTTATTACATGGTTATGGATTTTATTATCTCAAATAAAGTGAGACTTTGGCTAAAATGGAGAGTGAGTTATTTCTGATTATGACATCCCCAAGTATCAATAAATAAAATTATCAGATACAGAGAAGACCCTCAAAATATTATATTAAAATGGACTGGCAGGGGAAAAAATGAATTCTCCTTAATTCAGATGAATAGTTGAGAAATTTCAGGTGACAAATAAAGTTAACTTTGTTTGGAATATAAACTCAGAGATTCTTTGTTGACCTCACTCTCTGTTCTCCTTCCTAAGTAAAGGCATATGAAAACACCAGAGGTGGGAAAAGAGACACTGTGATCAAATATTTTGTTAATATTTAGGCCAGGCACAGTGGCTCACACCTGTAATACCAGCACTTTGCGGGGCCAGGACGGGTAGATCACCTGAGGTCAGGAGTTTGAGACCAGCCTGGCCAACAATGCAAAACCCTGTCTTTACTAAAAATACAAAAAAATTAGCCAGGTGTGGTGGCATGTGCCTGTAATCCCAGCTACTCAGGAGGCTGAGGCAGGAGAATCACTCGAACCTGGGAGGCAGAGGTTGCAGTCAGCCAAGATTTCAGCCACCGCACTCCAGCCTGCTCAACAGAGCGAGACTCTGTCTCAAAAAAAAAAAAAAAAAAATTATAAGCCAATTTTGCCAAAAAAAAAGGTAAACAAACATTTAACACCAAATAAATCTGTGTATGCTGAAATGTTTAGGGATCATGTATACTGATGTCTGCCACTTTAAATACATCAGAAATAAAATGGATTCATACAGTGATGGATAGAGAAACGAACAGGTGGACAGGTGAATATATAGTAAAGTGCATATTACAGAATTTAGGTAGAGGGTATATGGGTGTTCACTAATTTTTTTTTTAATTGCATTTTAGGTTTTGGGGTATATGTGAAGAACATGCAAGATTGTTGCATAGGTACACAGATGGCAGTGTGATGTGCTGCCTTCTTCCCCATCATCACTAATTCTTTTAACCTTTTTTTATGTTTGAAAACATCCACGATAGGCTGGGTGTGGTAGCTCACACCTGTAATCCCAGCACTTTGGGAGGCTGAGGAGGGCAGACTGCTTGAGCTCAAGAGTTCTAGAGCAGCCTGGGCAACACGGCAAGACCCCTATCTCTACTAAAGATACAAAAAAAAAAAAAAAAAAGGTAGGTGTGGTGGTGTGCACCTGTGGTCCCAGCTGAGATCATCTCACTACACTCTAGCCTGGGTGACAGAGAGACAGAGTCTTGCTCTGTTGCCCAAGCGATTTTCCTGCCTCAGCCTCCCAAGTAGCTGGGATTACAGGCGCACATAACCATGCCCGGCTAACTTTTGTATTTTTAGTAGAGACACGGTTTCACCATGTTGGTCAAGCTGGTCTCGAACTCCTGACCTTGTGATCCACCCGCCTCAGCCTCCCAAAGTGCTGAGACTACAGGCTTGAGCCACCATGCCCGGCTTGGAGAAAATATTCTTATAATTCAAATGACTAACTAAAACTAGGCTTCTAGGTCTATGGATGAATTAACAAATAGACCCCCCTTGCTCAAAGCAAGATCACCTACACTTACAAAAGTTCCACAAAAGTCAAACTTGGTATACCAAAAAATCACTTTGTTGCTATGGAAATGTCCCTTAGAGATGTCTGACCACCCATACCTGCATTTCACACTTTTAAAAATTCAATTTGGCCAGGCATGGTGGCTCACACCTATAATTCCAACATCTTGTGAGGCTAAGGAGGAGGGGTCACTTGAGCCCAGGAGTTAAGAGACCAGCCCGGATAACATGGCA